GCAAACACGACCGAAATAAGGAGACGAGATGAATAAAAGAACTCTCTTTAATGTCGCAGCAGAATACAAGCGCTCGCTAGCACGTCCGAATCGGTTGACGGCTCGTCGAGAATTCTAACAGATCGTGTTTTTAACAAACGCGCGCCGCGTCGTCCGGAGAATACTTCGCAGCTTTCAGGCTAAAGCTTCGTGCACACACGGGTTGACTCAGCCGGGGGCATAACAATATAATAATATGCGGATAATGTGCGTATAGAGGCGTTTATATTTATTTCTCGAAAATGATACTTCGCAAAATAACTTTATCACACATAGTTGAATTCGTATTAAAATAACCTTTAATTTGGTCATAAAAAAATTTTTAAATTTAAAAAAAATGTGAGGAAAATATTTAAAAAAATTTTAAAAATTTTAAAAATTTTTTTATTATTATAAGTACACTTCAAGTCATTTAACTTTGATTGAGAACATTTTTTTCTATCTTTCATAGTTTCAACGATATTCACTTTGAAAGAAAAAAACCAATTTTTTTCAAGGGGTGATTTCATCCTTTCAAAACGGAATACAACACAAACAAAAAATAGTTTCGTTCTACGGATGAACTGCTCTACTTTTACATAAAGTTTCAGATTTTTTTAAATTTTCGGGTTCCCTTTTCAACTTTCCTTGTTAGTACCGTACACGTTGTACCGATGTGCTCGGGCCCGCGCTTAAAGTCTATTCAGATAAACTTGCATAACTGCATAATCATAAGAAATTTTACGTTTGTTCTAATAATATAAATGCGATTGGACAATATTCTTTATGTATATGATTTTATACCGATATTCTAAAAACAGTCTGTTGAATGCGAGTCCCCAAAATAGAAGACAAAAAATAAAAGAAAGATTTATATCGATAATACAGTTTTTGATCCTGTATAAAAATTAACCTTCAAATGGCACACTTCTTTCGAGCACCCACTAATGGAACGATGGTGTGAATTTGGATATGACTTAAATTGTACATCTTTTGTGAGGATAAAAACAGAAATGTTGTGAAAACCACACTTTTTTGCGGTAAAATATTCTCACAAATCCAACGGTATTATTCAATTTAATGAAAAAACTATTTAATAACCGAAAATTAATTATAAATATGAGCTACCGTTTTGAAAAACGTCACTTTTTCGAAGAAAAGCTGCCATTTTTTGTTATTTCATGAAATGAAGTGAAACTTGCGTGATTCTTTAGTTAAAATGATATACTTTAATAAAAAATTATTGTTGTT